AAGTATTTTTGCCTGGCATTTTTTGCCCTGGAGTTTTTTTAATATATTGCTCCATTCTTTTCTTGCTTGTATTTCTTGTCAGCCTAATTGGTTTACCAGACTCCCTATGAAAAGACTGACACTACCAAGTGTTGGCAAAAGCATGGAACAACTGGAACTTAGGAAAACTGCTTGGCAGTATCTATTGTAGTAAAGCTGAACATAATGTACACAATGGAATTCTAAAATTCCTCTCCTAGGCAGTAATGTGTACCTTTATACATTAAAATTCATGCACTCGAATATCTGAGGCAGACTATTAAAAACAGTTCACAAACTGGAGATGAAGTCATAGAGCAAATGATTTTCAGGCTTTTCTGCCCTCCTGCCATTAGGATTGCCCTGCCTCATGGGGCACCTATATTTGTTATATTGCTGTAAGTTGTACTGTTTACTTCTGTGGGCTATGGCAGCAATATTGAGATATTTGCCAAGAGAAGCAAAGGCAGGAGAGAGGCAGGAGAGAGAAGGGGAGAAGAACACCAGAGACACCCCGAGTGAAGACTTGCTAGGGGCTAGGAGGCCTACTGGCCTCCTGGTCCCCCGGCACCCCTTCCTGCCATGTACCTGGTTGCTGTACTTCATGTAAAAGCTCAATACAAGCCTGAGAAAGCCACCAAGGGCTCCAGGACTCTTCTTTACCCCATCTGCTGAATCTCAGAAAACCTGCTCTGTGCCCATCCTGCTACTACAGAAGTGAACCAAACGCCATCAGATCTACAACATGTATTTTATTCACACAGTGAAATACTACACAGCCGTGAGAACAAAGCATGTATCAGGTTGTCAGAAGTCATGATGCATTTGTTTGAAAAACACAGAAGAAATACATGACTTTTCCAACAACCAAATACATATAGTGTCAACAAAAATCACACATTTTGAGCAAAGCTGCCAGTTACAGAACACTGTTTGATTACTGTTTGATTTCATTCACATAATGTCCGATGCCAGAAAAAACTAATCTATTCTCTCAGAAGTCAGGATAATGGTTGCCTACCCTTCGGGAGGTAGAAACTGGAAAAGAGCATGAGAGGGTGTCCTGGGTGCTGGCAATGTTTGTTTGTAGGGTAAATGGTTTTCAGGCTTTTCTGCCCTCCCACCATTAGGATTGCCCTGCCTGATGGGGCACCTGCAGTTGTTACATTGTTGTAAGCTGTGGGCCATGGGAGGAGTAATGAGGTAGTCACCAAGAGAAGGAGGAGACAGGCAGGAGAGAGAACTGGATAAAGCAAGCCAGAAGAAGCCAGGGAATCCAGAGTGAAGACTTGGAGGGGGGCAGGGGTTGGAGGCCTACCAGCCTCCTGGCCTCCCAGTACCCCTGCCTACCATATACCTGGTTGCTGCACCACATGTAAGAGTTCAATAAAAGCTTGAGAAAGGACTGAGGGCTTCAGGACTCCTCCTTTACACTCATGATTGGCTTGAATCATAGAAAACCTGCTCTGTGCCTTCCTGACACTACATTGTTGTTCTGGGTGCTGATTCTGTGCATTGTGTCCTAATTTGTTGGGGGAGAAGGGGAATACACAGACTATGTAGATGTTAAACTTGTAGAAATGGTTAAAACGACATGCCTCTACCTGGATCGGAAGCTCAGAACGATGAAATGACTCCTCCTCCCTGAGCCTCTCCCATTGTCCACTACACTCTTTCACACTTGCACTCGGCTACTAACTGCTCTTATAAAAGGTGAGAGTGAGAAGAAAACAAACACCCTCAATAACCCTGCCCCCACCTACCCAAACATAAAAACTGAATGCCATATGGTACAGGTCTGGTTGCTAAAGTAGTTCTACCAAAATGTGAAGTCCAAGTCTATTTTTATCGCTTTTTACCCTCATTCTCTAGTGAGATCAAGTGGACATCTGCTCCCTCTGCCCAAAAGCTTCTTAATCAGGAATATTCCTCTCAAAGGACATAAATAACACTTCAAGTTGCAGGTACTGAAACAGCGAGGAGTCATGCGGGCCTCTCAGACACCCCTCGTGGTAGGTAAATGCAATTGGAGGGCAGGCCCAACTTGGCTGAGGGGGAAACAGGGTGTTCAGATCTTGGGCCCCTTTGGTCAAACTTGTAACCACTCTGTGCCTTGTTATCCTCACCATTAAAATAAGGATAATGGGGCTAGCCGCAAATAAAATGTATCTGATGCTAAAAAAAAAAAAAAAAAAAAAAGCATCCCAGTGAGTCAACACATGTTAGAACATTCAGAAAAGTGGCTCAGGATGCAGAAGGCTTTGGGGCCGATCCCAAAGTCCCCACAGTCAAGCTGTGCAGAGCACTCCTGGGCTGTCCCCCACACGGTCAGTAAAGCAGCGGGGACCAGGGACACCCCCTTCAGGGGTAAAGGGGAGCAGAGGAGAGATCTACAAGGATGTGAGATGGAGAAGAGCTGGCTGTCCCCCAGCCCCAGCACATCTGCTAAGTAAGTTTATCACTGAATAAATGAGAGCAGTCGCCAGCCACCTCCCTGAAAGACTTTGAAGAATCGGGTCTGCTGCTGCCAGAGGGCAAGAAGGAAGACACCTCCCAGGCATGTAGTAGCTGACCTAACAGCAAGTAGGGAGGTGGTAACATCACACACCCACACTTCCTATTTGACCAAATGGCCAGGAAACCCCACAACCACTGGGGTATAACTCCTATTATAGGGCCCTGGTCTCTACCTTGGAGCCCTTGAGACCTTGACTGTGACTGGCTCAAGACACAAAGTCTCAGACTGACGGCAATAAGTGGTTTATCAACAAAGAGGAAAAACCGATGTTCAACCGCTAGAATATTCACACCGGCGTATTCTCCAAGGAGGCAGACCTACCCAAGTAGCCGAATCTTCACCAGGAGGATACCTGAAGACATACCTGAAGGACATGAAGTCAGCGGGCTGGGACAGAAAGGAGGATGAATCCCCAGAAGAGTTCAGTGGGTGGGACTGGAGACCTGGCCACCTGGGAGCTGCCAACGCCGTGCTGCTTTCCCAGGGCTGATCAGCATCGCGCCCTGCCTCACAGCCGGGCCCACGCTGCACACCTCTGCTCCGAGGCTCTGTTAGCACCCATGTAGGGGACAATCCTACTTCCTCACATCACAGGTCTGGGGAGGAGGTAGGTTAGGAAACTCTGTGCCCGATACCTACCTTTCAGTCAGTAAACAGATTAGTTCTTGAGGCAATCCTTTTTCTCCCTGAAGGCAAGTTTCTGCGGGGGGGAGTCAGGCTACAAGTAGAGGCAGGTGGAGGAGCAGTCACACCCTGGCTGGTCTGCAGGTGAGGGTGAGGTGTGGAAATGGCCAGTTTCTTTCCACGAACGCACAGGCTACGGGCACCTTTCCTTTCGGCATAACAGTAGGCCCGAATTCAATGGGGAATTCTCAGTTCTGCCACAATCCAGCCATGTTCCCAGATCAATCACACTGATCTCAGGCTGTCTTTTCCACAAACGGCTGATCTGATCTTCAGTTCTACCTGACACTCATAGAGGACAAATTGAAGGGCAGGTCTGGGAGCGTCCTGCGTTCACTGCCAGGATCTGCTTACATCACTGCCCCAGGAGTGAACAGTCACGTCCCTCTCTTAGCAGCTACCAGTCTCGCCTGGAAAATCCCTCCAATGCTTAGACTGCCGGGAGTGTTGGGGGAGGGGCAGGGGACTGGACATAGGGGATGTCCTACCAACAAGTCCTCCCTTGCTGATGGGAGATGGGGGCAGAGGCTGCCGTTGCCAAACAGTTCTTCCCTAGTCACTACCTGGACACTTCATTGCCGCTGGAGACAGGAGACATCTGGGAGCGGAGGGAAGAACAACAAAGGCAAGGCCAGCAAAGCGCAAGGCAAAAGGCAAGTGGCAGAAGCACCTCGCCACCTCACCTATCTCCCTCCCCACACAGAACGTGTGTTCCTGTCTACACACTGAAAGCCCTGGGGACTCCACCTTTCTTTTCTCTCTGCTTGCTATCACCAGCAAGCTTGCTCACACCATCCCTTGGGGGGATTCATCCCTCCACATCACTCCCATCATCCACGGAGTGGACAGGGCAAAGGAAGCTAAAAACAGTTTGATCACTTATTTAGGATTAAGACGCCATCGGAAGCTTTCCACACTCTGCCCTACGCAGATATTTTTTGGTAGTTCCCCCAGAAGTGAAATGCACTTCCATCATGTAATCCTAAGGGCTCTCCACTCCCACCTCCCCCAGCACGGCTGCTCAACCCTTAGCAAGATAATGGCAGCCACCTTAGTCAGATGTACTACTGTTAAACTCCCCCAAGTGACTTTAGGTCAAAGCACCACTAAGGCAAAGCACTCAAGTTTTGCAAACTGGAAACAGTTTGGAGATGGAGATTGTAAAAGCAACGGAAATTAGGTAAACTGAGTTCCCTTGATAAAAGATCTGCTACTCTAACACTGAACGATCAACCTATACAAATAAATGGAGACTAAACTGCTTTTTTAACCAGCACGATAGATAATCATAGAAGGTAATGTCTTTTTAAGCCATGCATTACATAATTAAGTGACTTCTAAAAAACATAATGCAATAATCGCCTGTAAGTATTTCACACCTATCATAGGGCAGGTGTCCTTTCCATACAGAGATGCAAGTAAGGACAACAGTTTCCCCGGGGGGCAGCTGTGGAAATGCCATCAAGCAAGGAGCCAGGGCTGAAGTACTCCAACAGTTCTGATACGACAATTACAAATTCTGAATGGGGATGAGATGCCCGCTCCTACTGTGAAAAGGACCCCCTTGAAACAGAGGGACAGGCAGGGCTTCTTTCTGGGCTGCATGGGGCAACGGATCTAGAAGGACGTAGCATCAGGAACCTGGATCTAACATCGAGGAGAAGTACAGCAGTTTTGTTCAATGAAGATAAGTAACACAAATCAGTCTTCACACTTGGAAATATAAATCTTTTGGGATATCGTATGAGAGAAGCCCTTCTCGCGCCCCCCCACCCCCCAACCCACAAGATTATATGCTGTGATCTAAAAAGTTCTATTTAGTTCCAGAATTGCATCATACCAGCAAATAAGGCAGTTGCTATTTATAATGACTAGTCACAACTGGCTGAAATTCCAAGGTAAGTGACTTTTATGACAGCCCAAAATTGTTTTAACCACAACTCAGCAACACATATTGAAGACGTACATTAGCCTGCACAGAATGCTATCCACTTGATCTCGAAAAACATTATATATAATAACAAAAATACAGAAATGGTCACACCGCACCCCACCCACACCCAAACCAGTGTGTTCCCTCATCAATTCCACCACTGCAATAACTTTAATACCGTAAAGAAACAGTGAGGAAATCAGAGCACCGTGGAACGATGTCAGCAGCTCTTACATGTACTATTACAATTTTGATGAGCTAAGACAGTACAGGCAAATGGACTCCTGAGGACATTACGTACAAGTAAGATTTGTAAAGGTCCCCACTCATACACACGCGCGCACACACACACACACACACACACACAAATGTTCATCTGTCACAGACGGCAGGGTCAAATTTATCCGCTGGAGTTTCCAGGCAGCATTCTGCACATTTAGAAATGAAAAGCAGCAAACGGAAAGTTGTCCAGTCTATCTCAGATGGATCATCCACAACTGCGTAAGGATGCAACAGCTGTTCTGATGCTACTGCACACGTGCTTACGGCTGCTTCTCAAATGCAAACACCACGTAAATACCTAAAAAAGAGAATAAATATAAGTCAGAGTTTGGTTTCTCATATCCTCAGGGCAAACAGAACAACAGTCTTGGTCCTGGACCCAATGTGGTCAAAAAAGTCTTAGCGGCTTCTAAAGAGCAACAGTCCCATTATTTCCAAGAGTTTCTCCATTATGCTGCATCACATTTAAGCAGATACGGGATCACGTACATGTGCTTACTTAGAAGCAAATACCCGCGTACTCTAATACCCGGTGGTACCACTGCCCTTGAGAAAACAAATTCGACAGCTCTCAAAATCTCTGAAACAGTGGAAGGTAAGGAAAGCAAAGAAAATCAAAACTAAAAAAAAGTGCACGACTAACTTCTTTTTACCTGGTGTGAGGTAGACAGGTATAACAACTACACCCCTACGAGTACTAATGACAGCGTTACTCAGTTTTCTCTAAGGAAAGGAAAACAAAAAACCTACCGCTAAGAATTAAAAGGAACATGCATAACATGCACACCAACATTCACCCACTTATCCAACTGTAGTGCTGGAGGGTTTGATTTATCTGGCCCCAACAGCGATATTCCTGCATGCAGCCAGCCCCAAGAGCATGCTCCCTTAAACAAGGCTTCCTGCTTTGACTCAAAAAGACATCTAAAAGCATCGTGGCTCCTCATTCTGAATCACACTCTAGTTCAAACACGTTATGTCTTCAAACGAGATACAGATAGATTTTTATGGTCAGAAAGCACCCGCAAAGATGACAAATCATCGAAACATCACACAGATGTTCCGGGCATGCACCAGGGCATTCAACTAGCAAGTCAGGGTAACAGGCCCCGAGTCTTCACTCCTTGAGTTCATTTCTCAACGAGGGACAGACAGCTGAACAACACAGATCACCTAACAGCCTCCCAGTCCTCGAGGCTCTCTACTCTTCCAACCCAACCAGCATAGGAGTACACCACCAGCCATTTCAAAGTCTACTTTGGTCATGCCCCTTTATCTACTAGTTTCCAATTTCTCTGAGGAGAAATGAAATATGGCTGGCACTGCAGCAGGTAGATCAGATAGACGAAAAACAGGCAAGGTGATCCAGTCATCAGCACTGCAATTCATTAATCGCTCCTCCTTTCCTTAAAACAGCTTGCCTTGTAGTGCACTTAATTGTGCATTAGTGCAGACGTGTGCATTACACAGCACACTTCTGCAAGACAGCTCTAGTAACTCGCGCACTCGTTTTTGCGCCCCCAACACCCTTTCGCAGACCGTTAACGTACAGCAACGCTCAAACGTCTATGGAATGGATTCTCTCTGACCACCTGTGCCTTCAACATAATCAACAGACATTTAAACGAACGGTGGGAACTACCTTCTAAGTCTTCAGGGCAACCACACAACATGATAAGAGTGAGGCTCTGGACAGTGACTTCTGTTGAAGAACCATGGGAGTTCACAGATCCACCAGGCCTTGGAGTTCCCTTTCAGAGACAGGGGCCTCGCTTCAGAATGTCCCTGGATGATGCCCGTCCCCAGTCCTCTAAAATACCCTGCTCACTACGCTTCACTCAAGGTTCTATTACTTATCGTGCCTTCACTGACCACACCGCAGTGACCAGAATCAAATAAAATACATGGCAGTGTTCTACAAGCCGAAATGTCCAATAGGCAGCTGAGGTAAAGACAACCGATACAGATGGTTATGTGGTAACGAGTAGGCAGAAAAGCATCTGAGCATGCTTGTGAAAGTTTACATTAGGCAACACCCTGCATATATCTTCCTCTTGGTCCTAAGCAACAGTGCAAGAATGGGGCAGCTATGTGAAAATATGAAAACACACACACACGCACACGCACACACACACACACACAAGTGCACACACGCCTTAACCTGTTAGAAAATTTCTCATTTCAGATTTTACTGATCACTTTTTGAAAATAGCAATAAATCTGCACTGAAGAGATATACTCACTGGTAGCTTCCCATTCTGATTTACTTAAGGTTCCCTAAAATTAAGAAGAAAGAAAGAAAATTTTAGATTGAACACGCAAGTACAAACATACTTATGTTTCAACAATGGAGCTGCCCAAGCATCCCTCACTTCACTACAGATGTTTTAAAAAATACTGTGAATGTCATACTGATCTGAGCATGTAAAAGAAAGCAGTGAGATTCACCTTTCATGCCATCTCCTTAGCACTTTTGCCAAATGTTTTATTAGTCCACCGATTTTCATGCGATCAGTAAATTTGTGTGAAGTCATGTGTTCCTGTCCTGTGTGTGTGTGCGACTGGGAAAAGCATCCATTTTTATTTTTAACTTGCAAAATGAAAAAATTAAAAGTCCTATCTTGCTTCAAACATCAAACAGTACTGCTGGAGGAAATAAGATTTTTGTGTTTTACCAAGGAGTTACAAAGTTCTAAGTCATACAAGAGAAATTAAATATACTTGAAAGTTGTAAAAGATCTGAAACCATTTCGATACAGTAATAGACACATACAGCAATACCCTGACTAACGAGACCTGGTGGAAATTCCAGTAATTAGCATAATTTTGAAGAAGCGATGAGTGTAAACAATAGCCTAAACTGTCCCCAGAGATGTCTTATGCAAAATCTCTTGAGGACTACGTCACAGTGGTGGGCTGGCATTCAAAGTTAAAGAAACTGAGAGCTTCCATGTAGAAGCCAGCGCAAATGAAGACGTAACCTTTCCCCACCCAGGTTCACCAGGCGCTGAATTTGATCCAAGGGACACTGGAAGTCAGTAGTGCCTAGGTGAAGATATAATGGGAGAGCAAGCAAACTCTGAAACCAAGACTAGTACTTCTCCCCCAACCTTAACTGCCCCCACCCTCAGGTCACATTAAGTACACTTTCTTCTACAGTCTGTAGCAATACAAAGTCATCCTAACTTAGGGAAACAGACTAACATGTATCTGATTTGGAACAAAGTGAACCAGTAAACCACTGAAATAATCTCCCAAGTTTCCAGACAGCATGTATGGAATGTTGCCCCCATTTTCATTAAAATATGCTTTTTAAAAATGAACACTTACCAAGGGTAACTTTACTTGAGTGTTCTTCATGTACTTTGCCACATGTTCATAGTCATCCACCTTCTCAGAGGCAAGTCTGGAATTCTCATGTGTAGGATATGGCTAAGGAGGCAAACAAAATTCCTATCTAAAGATATTTCATCGAAATTTATTATTTAACAATTTAAACATACAAAAATCACTGACACATACTAAGTCAATAATCCCCAAATATTGCTACAGGAATACAAAGTATACACACTTCTGAAATAGGAAAACAAAATGGGTGACAACAAAGCTGCTGCTGGCATCAATTTTGATCATCACAGCATATTTAGAGCTGGGCCCAATTCTATCATTCATCCCCACCAGTTACCAGCAAACACTCATCTCTTCCTGATGGCCCATCAAGGAAATTGTGTATTACCACACAAAGCCGAAGGTAGGTTACATGTTAATTTCAACACGACGGTGATTTAACAGTCATGGAAAAGACGAGCAGCAATTAGAAATAATAGAAATGAAACACTCCAGTTAATAGAGTTTAACCAAATGAGCTGAAGAACATGAAGAAAATAACCCAGCATCCAAAATACAGGCAATGTCCAGTTTTCCACAAGAATCTGAAGGAACACACACACAGACACACACACAGACACACACACACACACACACACACACACACACACACACACACCCACCCCAGAGTCACAAACATGTTTTGGCCAAAGACTTCTTCCAATGACCTCAGGCACTATTTGCAATCCATTTTAAGTATTATCTCTATGTTCCAAAGCACAGTGCTCTGGAATACACATGTATCAAAACATAATGTATGGCAGAAAATAATAAATTTAAAATACCTTCTACCCTACAAAGGTGGAGTCAGGGTTCCCCTCCCCTCCTCGGGGCTCTGCACTTGGCCTGAGAAGCTGCTTGTGGGCAGTGCAGGTGGGCATTTTAGCACCCACCACCAGAGGCCCCACTGGGGCACAGGTGGCAGGCCAAGGCCGGCAGTGACGGCGGGTGGCAGCTTCGACCCCCTGAGCATGCAGTCCCCGGTTCAGGGCTTTAGGGAGGAGCACGAGGCCCCACGGGCCAGCTCCAGCACCAAGGCTCCCTCCAGCTACAGCAGTAGAGAGGCCCATGGATTTGGTGCCTGGATCGTGGAATGGACCAATCTGGTGTGAGCTATGAGCTGACTGGTAAACAGTCCAATCAGCCCCAGGGCTGAAAATGGTCTCATCAGACTTGTAGACGGGGCATTCTGAAGGAGGAGATAAGGCAGGGGCAGGAGCCAGCTTGGGACTTGGATCATCACTGTCTCTCTCTCTGTGCTTGACGAGGACTCTCGGTTCCTGGCCTCAGGAGAGACACTCAGACTTTCACAGAAGGACTCTGTTCCTGACCTCTGAAGAAGAAAGCATCCAGCAGCCGGCCTCTGGAGGAAAAAGAGAAGCCAGAGAGCTCTTCGCTGCCCAGGGGGCCACTGCCCTTCCTCGGACATCCCCTGAAAGGAGCACCAGAGGCCTCAGGGCTTGGTATCTCAAAGAGCTACTTGTTCTGGGTGTGGCTCAACACCTCACAAAGAGCTGCTGAGACGGTGTTGCTGACATCGCTGCCTCCTGGTGACCAGTGCTGACCAGCACTATTGGCTGGTGCTGTCCAGCACTCTTGACGGGTGAACAGCACTCAGTGTTGGGTCACCTCTGGAGGTGTTAGTTGTCTGACACCGCCTGTTAGTGCGGCTGCCTCCATGGCTTGTCTGGCCCAGCGTCTGGTGACGTCCATCAGCCCGACCTCAGACTATGGCTGTGGGCTGCTGCGGCGTCATCTCATATGAGCGCCTCTGGCTGCGGTGAGTTGAGTCCTGGCCCACTGTGCGCTGGCTGCCATGAGGTCCAGGCCCACGTTGGTGGACAGCGACCTCTTGGGTGAGCGGCTTTTTGTTTAGGGCTTCCGAAAACTCTGTTTCCCGCATTTGTTAAATAAACCCCACTGTTGTTCCCTGAGCCGCAGTGGCCTTGCAATTGTGTGCACGGGTGAAGAACCCGGGCAGTGACCTGTCATCCACCAGGCACTGTCCTTCTGATCTGCTGCAGGACCCCTAGTGCCCTGTTTCAAGGTTATATACTCATTATAACTTCTTTCCTTGTCTTATTACAACAGAACAGCTAGCAAGGATCCACTTGAAGTGCAGGTCTGCCTGGTGAGGTTTTAAGAAAATGACCCAAGAAAGGTATCTTATCACCTATCCCACCCCCGCCCCCGCCTGCCCCCCGCCCATCATCTCAAGAAAGACCTCACAGTAAAGCACAATTAGTGATTTGGACGTCCATGTTGTTACCATAACCGATCGCAAGGGATATACAGAACATCACTTACTACTACCTATCACTGAGTTTGTTCTAAACCTTCAATCTCAGTCTTTGTGGGGTCATCACAATCGCAAAGCTTCAAAACTCTACCGCCAATGAATGGCTGCCAAACTACCCTGTTGTACCTCTGCTTGTCAACCGGCCAGGGCAGGGCTCCGTCATTTCATTATCTGTCTATCACCGGACATCAGGCTCCTCTCCTCTACCGATCACTTTAAAACACCAAGCAATCTAAGACTGTAAAGCCACAAAACTGATTTGTTTTTAATAAAACTTGCTAAAATAGACATACCCTGGTAAGTATCTCCGCCTAAGGCAGTAACTTTGCCAGACCTGTTCCCTGGTGAGAACGAACACACACACACACACACACACACACACACACACACTCTCTCTCTCTCTCTCTCTCTCTCTCTCTCTCTCTCTCTCTCTCTCTCTCTCTCAGAAATACACAGGTGTCGGGACTTTATAACTATAGTGCCAGTCTTTCCATTCTCCTTTCCCTCTGTTTCACAGCACCACAAGAGCAGACCATGCGGTTTTGTTTTCCTGGTTTTCTTGCTGCAACTCTCTGCCAGCTGCTGTCTGACAGCTTTACAAAAAAACGCTTTTTTAAGCAAACATGACAGAGTGGGTCCATTTCAATATCTGACGTGGACTAAAGCAACAGCATCCCTGATAGCTCATTCCACCTCCGGTCTCATCGTCCCTCCACATCCTCAAAGCCGGACGAAGGGGGAGAAGGAACACAGGAGAGCTGTTGTGCTAAAGAAATGCTGAAAGTTTAGTAGATTTCCTCAATCACCCCCACTCTCATGTTTCTCTGCCTTCACTCCCACTGCCTAACTTTCTTCTCCAAGGGCCCTTTCATACCCCCACTGCAGAATTCCTTCTTTACTGTAGTTTTCACACTGTACTGGTTTGCTCGCATGCTCGGCTCCTCAGTGTACCTCGAGTTCCTTGAAGAAACCACATCTTACCAACTGATCACTTTACATGCAAAGCACTGCCAGGTAACAATGATGTATGAATGGTGTGCACCTGTGGCAATTTAAGGAGCTACGCTATCTCTAGCTTTCCCTTTTCCTAGAAACAAACAAGAGTGAGCCTCTTCTCCTATAAAACACACACAAACATTTCTAATTCTAAAACACGAGAATACAACCAATAAAGACTGTAACATTTTAGTGATTGCTGGTTGCAAAACTCAATTTGAACACTTAAGGAGGTCGCGTCCACTGAGGGATGGGGGTGGGGTGTTGGACCCAAAAGGACTTTTATGTGAACGCCACCTATAAAAACGGAAGAAAAATCTGCAAGTTGACAGCCACGTGACCTTGAACAAGTCATTTATCTCCTCTTAACTTCATAACGCCCATTTGAAAGTGTGAGGAATGGCTGCTGTGTTACTTCATGGGGGTAATTACGAGGCTAAATAGGAGTATTTTAAAAAAGTCTAAATTACACAAATTCTATTAAGAAGTTCAGTGAGCATCTCATTACTAAGAGTCTGCTGATCAGTAACAAAGGGGTCAAGACATAAAAACAAACAAACAAACCAAAAAACCATAATCAATGGCTGTGCAGAGTTTAAAGCTTGTATAGGTGCCCTTCACCGCGGCAAAAGGGGAAGCACAGAGGAGTCCAGGAGTTAAAGCAGGTTCCAGCATGAACAGACTGGCATCTTGCTGGACCGTCACCACAGAACAGAATTATGCATGGCACGAGCCTCTCTTGGACCCTCGCCAGGAAGGTTTTAAATTACTGCCGTAACCAAAGGACATTACTGAAAAGAAGTGGTTCTCAACTTGGGGTGACCTTGCACCCCAGTGGATAGCTAGCAATTGTCTCAGACATTTCTGGGCTCTCTCCTAGGTGGACAGGGGTGCTACTGGCATCTAGCAGACGACAGGGATGCTGATCCTCTGAAGTGCATACAATATGGTGCCCCGACCCTGTCCCCACCCCTGCCTTGCCAACAGAGAATTAGCCAGTCCTATATGCCAACAGCGCTATCTAGAAAGATGGACTATCTAGAAAATGGAATCTGAGGTCAGCACTATCCATCGACCATCCATCCAACCATCTATCCTGTATTTATGTAGTACCTGCTAGGGTAAGCTGCTCTACCAAGCTCTGCCCTCGGTGCTGAAGATCCAGAGGGCAGCTGTAAATAGCTCGTGTAATTTATATAAATGTTTAGTGTCTACCTGGCTTTGAAAAGAACCTGAAAAATAGCCAAACAGTCCTGCTGTGACCTGGAACTTTTGCACCTTTTCTCAAGACTTACCTCCAGGGCTTGCATTCGTTTTAACAGCATTTTATTTTCGCTGTTCTTAATCTTCTCTTCATAGAATTCCAGAAACGATTTTTTGTAGACTAGTTTCATTTTGTACTTCTTTGCCATTCTGTACAACACAAAACAAAAACTAATGCAAAGGCTTCCAGAGCACTGGTAATTCCTCAACAGCTTACTTCCACACCACAGCAACATCTTTTGTGCTTAACTGAGCAATACCATCTCCTTTAAAAATTCAATACAGCATGACGCAAAATGAATGAGCAGTAACATACCAGTAACCAGGCCTATGAAGAAATGTCTCTGTTAACTCTCCACGGATCACAGGTAACCCTACTAAAGTCAAATGGTCAGGAAGGATGATGAAGGCTTTCTTCTACTGATGCCATCCTATTTGACCTGATCTCTAACCGTGGCTTTGAAGACAGCTGCCAACTTCCTTCTTAAAATGTAAGTGTTTCACCTCTTGCATACCCCGGCAAGATACGCTATTAATTTAGCCTTCACCTGGGGCTGCTTGGCCCCTCAAGGTTCTGAAGAGTCTGGCTCAGAACCTTACTCATTTTCACTCCCTGGCTTTACACAGCATGCCCACAGCTCTCTGAGCTCAGCTCTTTCGTCCCTCATCTAGTCCAATGCTTACTAGAAATCTCCACCAGGATGTGTCGCGGGCTTTCTCTTCCTTTCCACATCTAAGGCTGAACCCACTGGTTTGTTCTCCTGCCAATCTTTGCTATTTCAGTAAATCCACCTAGCGATTCATGCCAGAAACCTCGGGGTTCTCCATGAGAGCTACCCGCCCCGCTCTACCCTCTGCATTCAACACATCATCATTTACCTGTACAACATAGTCCAGGTAGGTCCGTTTTTTACACCATTCTCCTTCAATCGCCATCAGCCCTCAGCTGTTAACGGTGGCTTGTTTTTCTGCCTCCAAATTTATGCTCCCCCTCAGCACAGTTTCCAGCTGCAGCCAGATGAAGCTTTCAAACCTACACACCTAGTCAGTCATTTCCCGCCGCAACACCCTTCACTGGCTCTCCAGCACTCTTAGGATGCAATCCCAAAGCCTGTCACAGGGCCTCTCGGGCACGCGAGTAACAAGGGCCGCTTGCTGCCTCATCTTGAGCCACGTGGACCCCTGATTCCCTAAGTCCCAGTCACAGTGATTTTCCTTCACCACCTCGAACTAGCCAAGCAGGCTATCTGTCACTTCAGGGCCTTCACACACAGATTGCCCCCCAGGTGCGAAAACACTCTTCCTTCCAGTCTTCACCTGGCCATTGCCTACTCATCCTTCAGATGTGAACACAAACACGATTTCCTCACAGACGCGGCCTGCTGAAATCCTCAATTACCCTGGGTCTCCCTGGTAGGCTTCTCTGTTTTCCCCATGCTTGCCAAAGGGAGGGAGTCTGGGGAAATGGTTTCCGACAGAGGCTAATGAGGAGAGGAAGAATGGGGAGGGACCCCTGAGAGCATACAAGGGGAAGTGCTGTGAGGCGACAGGGTGAGGGGAGACATCCCAGGGCCACTGGGATTTGCGTGTAGGAGACCTATGTATGGAGAGATACCCTGGAATTTGAGTCAGCCCTCCTCAGAAAGACTTGAGCAAGACAAAAGCCTCTTCTGTTCCGGGCAGTTCATTTGCTATCCTAAGGCTCCAAAATGAGGCTTCAGACATAAAGGCAAGTGTTACACCAATAAATACAAAGAACTCAAATGGTGAGCAGGTTTGCCCTATACAAGTTAATCATATGTTTGTTCAGTTTCTCAACGAAATGACAAAAGGGCATCTAAAAATCCCTACACAGGTTTGAGATTCTATTTCACCAAATGAATACCTGTTTCAGTAAATAATTTTTTAAAACTTTACATAGTTAAGTGAGGACGTGTGACTTTATACACTCACCATCACTAGGCAGTTTTGAGTGCTGGCTGAGCATTATGGACCAAAAAAACAAACTTTCATTTCACTCCTTATCATAATGGGCATGCTAAAATTATAAACCTTGTTAAAAGGAAAATAAAAACCAATAAGCTGTCATACCAAGCACGTCAAACAAGACACCCACAACACTCATTCTATCACAGAGGTGAAGAGCAGTAACATTTCCCAGAAGGTTACTGATTTTAAAGGGAAAAAAGATGTTTAAATACTTAAGTGTTGGCTTAGGTTTATAATTTGTGGGTGTTATGCATCATGTCACATGCTACACTGAACTGTCTTACATTACTGCATAAAATCTCCATATATTGTAGAACTCCTGAACATCCTATGCCCATAAATTTACAAGCTGTCTAAGACACAATTCAAATAACCTTCTACCATTCCTCAGGAAAAAAAGGATTTTCATTTCATAAAACAAACTTGACTTGTTTTAGGAAATCAAGTTTGGTCAAGTGTCGCGCAGCCTACGTTTAAGTGCATTCTTCTGCTCCCATCTCATGGAGATCCCCAAGACCAAAGAGTCTCACAGGTCTGGAAAACTCAGTTAGCCCAACTTTTCCCAGGTCTGTGGTTTGCCAGGGCTCCTAGGAATTCAGGTGCATGAATGAACACATTCCTGAATGAGGACTCTTATTCAACATTGCCTGTGGGACACAGGCAAATTCACAGCTATAGCGAAATATGGGACAACTTTTAATACTAATTCCCTGTCAAAGGAGGACATTTGCCTGATGAAGACTCACTTTCTATTGACAAAGTTACTAGCAGTTACTTCCAAACGGGGGGAATCTTTTGTCATTTGCAGTGTCAGGTATTTTATGCCAAAGGTTGGCTTTTTTTTTTTTTTCTTTTTTTAACCACAGGATAAAATAATTCCGGAAATGAAAAAGACTTAAGTACGTAAACTGTTGAGAGACCTATGGCACAAACCCTGGATTTAAAGTTAGTTCCTCCACCCCAACACAACCCACCCAAGCCCCCCTACCCCCTTTCTAAATTACAATACTTTTTAAGTCCCATTTAAAGTTAGGAATGAGCAGAAATATTCTTCCCCCCCCCCCCAATATTCCTTTGCTTTCCCTCCTACGACAAACAAGAGAATGGTAACAGATTAAATAACATTCTTACTCATTTAGCAAAGGAAAATAGACCAAGAATTCAGGGACATCCACAACACCTTCCAAGTGGAAGTCATATTTGCAGCCAAATAATGGATAATCTCCTTTCTTCTGAAATGTCACAGTATATATTTCATTTCCAAATGATTCCGTTTCTGAAGCTTCAAGGCGTCTTCTGTAAGGGTTGTCCCCCAAATCAAAAGGAAAAGATTAAAACCGTTACTAGCTCAGACTTACTTTGATCAGTTCACGCACATGAAAAATCCCCACGGCCACAATCTCAAAGAGACAGCTGCTTAGCCTTCTCATGGAATCCGAGCCATTTTTTTATGAAGCTGCATACCAGAAGATCATCATCTCACTAATAAAATTTGACTGGAAGAACGTTTTGCTGTCACGACAGGTGGTTAAGTCTCTGTGTTTCAGTATCTGCTCTGCAGTTTGGCCAAGGGCAATACACGCTGGCTCCACATGACATCAGTCTTCAACTGAGTCAGAGGTTTTAAAAGTTCACTGGTAAACCTGGCTTTTTGAACTTAAAGTTTCAATTGCGTCTCTATGCAAATACACTATCGACGTTCAGTCCTTGTAAGCTCAACATGGCGTACTTTAGAAACTCTATCTAACAGATATTTGCTACTTTCAAATCTGCTTAATCCTGAGTATTTAATAAACCGCACTATACTTTAAAGTACTTACATCAGTTCAAAGCTATTGGGAGTGGTACCGATATAATAGCCTCCAGGACTGAGTCTCTCACAAGCATTTCTGAGCATCATGTCAGCCTGCTCATAGGTCTCAAATGAGTAGTGACAGACAAACTGGCAACTGCAGATGTCAAAGCACATTTCTGGGTCTCGATATCTGTCAATCAAAAGTTCCTGAAACAGATTAAAATGGGTTAAGATCTTGAAGCTACGTGCAACACGGTTTATTTACATATTTTTTTCTAGAGAACTAGTGTCTAGAATTAAGACCCTAACATTGAATCTGTCCTTCTGTCATTCGGTACCTACAAGAAAGGTCAGAATGAGTCATTCTGTTATCTGGCTTCACAGTGACTTTAAAAACTAGGGAATCAGAAGGCATGCTTAAAAATACACCAATCAAATATGACCTTTCAAGGAGGTGATCCTTTTACTCGGTTTTACTTGCAAGTCAAAAGTCAAAAGACACATCATTAACTTGGGATTAAGAAAACCACAAAGCTGGCCTTGTAGGATGCATTTGTCAATACCCAAAATGGTTTTCCCAGCTCTCCAGCCTTCTAGCACTATACTCAGCCACTCTTCCTTCTCATTTTCAAAACCGCAACCAAAAATGTTTAAAGATACCTTGTGATTGGGTTAAAGATACCTTGTGATAGGGTTAAAGATACCTTGTGATAGTTCAGTAAGCTGATGAGTATACTAAGTAACATCAAGTTCAAGGTGGGGCTTTCCCCATTCCCCTGTAGTTCTCAGACTTCAGTCATGCTTAGAGATTCAGAAACAGGTGGAAGGTGGGGAAAAAGCAGACTCTGGCATGTTGGAAAACTACCCTATTACATTACAAGGTGAACAGAACACTTTTATTTCAAAATACTGGAAAATACACCTCCTCCAAACAAAAAAGCAGCCCGTGATTTCAAAAGTTCAAACTATTACAAGCAAAAGACTTCCCCCACTACCCAGTGGGTCATTTAAGGAAATGTATCGAGACAGACTTTCCAGTTGAGAGGATACCACATCATTTACCCAAATGAAAACATGAAAAAATTAAGTGAACAATCTTACAAAAACCCTGTACCTTTGAACAATCGGCAGTTATAAATTCTGCATTGAAAATATATTCATTACCGCGAGAACGAGTTTTCATGTCCTCATATCTCTGTTGACACTGTCTGACAGAAACATCAGCGATATCTAGAAGGGGGAAGACAGGTGTTAGTAACCATCAACAAATATCCAGGGAGATAACAAAATGCAAATGCAGAAATGGCAAAATTCTAGACTTTGATCTCAACTGGCAAGTTTCAGCATGAAACTTAGCAAGCCTTCCTACAAGCAAAAATCTTCTATTTCCTTCAAAATAAGACCGTCTTTACAAACACATTAAAAGCTGTCTCAGTAGGCAAAAGTCTTATCGTGATTTTTAAATACTCATTCAAAGTTAAAGCACTATGGGAAGCTGTGCGGAGGACCACACAGCTTTCAAAAGGAAACCTGCACTCCTGTGTCCCATTGCAGCACTATTTACAAGAGCAAAGATATCGAAACAACCCAAATGCCCCCAAACAGGTGACTGTTCCAAGAAAGATGTGGTATATATACACAATGGAATACTACTCAGCAATCAAAAAAGATAAGCTCAATGCCATTCGCACAACCTGGATGGAGGTGGAAGGGATTATGCTCAGTGAAGTAAATCAGAGGGAAAAAGGGAAAGATCTCGGATGGTTTCACTTGTAGGAGGACTATAGGGAAAGCAAACAAGGGGTAAAGACAGAAAAAAAAAAAAAAAAAAAAAAGACCAAACTAGCAGACAAATCATAAATTGGAGACATACAGCAGGTGAGGGGGAGGGAGAGGGAACAAAACAGGGGAGGGAAAAGCACAGGAGACGATGGTGATGGTGCACAGGTGACTTGGTGGTGGGAATTTTATGGGGATTACACCTGAGAGAAAAATGAATAAGAACGTATATATTTACTTTAAAAAAATAAAAATAAAAAAATAAAACAACCAACCAACCAAACAAACAAACAAAAAACAAAAACCCAAAGTGAAAGCAGAAAGTTTAGATTCCAACTTGAATTACAAAACCCAGCAGTACACCCAGTTTTGCAGACATCAGGTTTCAATTTTCATAGTGATATGTTATTTGCCTTTTCTCCTGTGTGGCGATTTGCACTAATGGTGCAAAAGCAAGGGAGGGGTAAAATGCTGGCACCTTATCATGGACTGATAACACTTGATATATTCTTGACCACAAAGCAGAAAAGCCAGTTTCACTTAAGAAAGTCCTTGATAAAGCAGTAAGAATTATTATTTGACTAAATCTTGGTTCCTGAACACTCATTTTCATATTCTGTGGGATGCGCAGGAAGCAACAAAAACATTTCTGCTACCTAAGGAAGTTTGACAGTCAGTTAAAACAACAAGACAGGCTTGTGTTGAGGTGAAATGGCCACTGTTTTCATCAAGTCATTTGCACTTGAAAAGAATGGCTGAAAGACAACCTGTTAGTTACTCAGACTTGGTAGTATGTATTCTTGAAAATCAACAAAGTGAGTCTGTGACTTCAAGGAAAACCAGAAGAAGGTCTGCATAACTTTAGGGAATGTTACTTTCCCACTATTACCACATCTTGCAGTGCAACAGATTTGTTCATGGCACACAACAGCCCACCCAACTTAAGTACAGACCAAGAAAAGTTCGTGGATAGGGTTTCAAATTTCACACAGGAGCTAATTTAAGGAACACACCTTAGTGGGTCTTGGTTCATCCCAAGACGAACAACTTCAGTCTGCAAAGGTGACTACATTTTGCAACTAAAACTCTACATTTTACAACTACCGATCAAACAAAACACCACAACATACTGAATGCACAAACTGGTGTGAGCACCAGTTGACGCCTACTTTCCAGATGCCAAAGGGATTTGCAAAATCATTTGGAAAATGCCAGTCTTTGCATTAACATTTTTTTTTACTGTTTTTTTTTTTTTTTTAAGATTTATTTATTTTTATACAAGAACTGGGGTACAGGCCAGAGGTGTGGGGGGTGAGAGGGTTCACCAGAGACAGAGTGAAACAGAACAGACAGATGGACCGAAATACACTGCTGAGGGGAGCAGCGGGCAAGACGGGAAAGGTCTGCCGGGCCATGTGGGCATCTCCCTGGCCAGCCAGGAATCAAACCTGTGTTGCAGAGGCTGCGACAGCTTCACAGCGCTGTGCTCAACCCACTGCGCCACCAGGGAGGCCCTGCATTAACTTTTCTTTTTGAATGAATTAAAGGCATATTAAGACATCTCAGTTTTAAGTTCTATAACCAATAGCTATAACCACATACACACAGACTTTTGGGGTCCTCATATATTTTTAAGTGCACAGTGGTCACACAACCAAGAAGTCTGAGAAGCATCAACTTACTTTTTTTTTAAGTTATTTATTTATGCACACAAGCACTGAGGTACAGGCCAGAGGTGTGGGGGGTGAGCGAATACACCACAGACTAACTGAAACACACAGCTGAGGGGAGCAGTGGGCAAGTCAGGAGAGGTCTGCTGTACCATGTGGGTAGCTCCCCGGCCGGGAATCGAACTCGTGCCGCAGTGGCTGCGGATAGCCTCATAGGTTGCGTCTTAATCCCTTGCGCCTGAGGAGCCTCAATTTAGGCAATACTTTGGAGGTGATGCTCTATACTTCCTCCTACTCCGGGCATAGCAAAGAATGTGATGATTGCTTGTCCTACATTCCAGTATTAGTTAGGGTGTTTGATTCATTTAGTTGTAAGTTCTTATCAGTCTTCCACACAACAGCTTTAGCGTCTCCTCCTCCTCCTCCTTTTTTTTTAAGATTCTTTTTTTATTTATTTATGCATACAAGAACTGGGGTGTAGGCCAGAGGTGCAGGGGATGAGAGGATTCACAAGAGACAAGAGTAAAGAGCAGAACAGGCAGATCTACTGAAACACGCTGCTGAGGGGAGCAGGGGGCGAGACAGGAGAGGTCTGCTGAGCCATATGGGTTGCTCCCTGACCGGGGATCGAACTCATACCACAGTGGCTGGCAATGGCTTGGTAGAGCTGAGACTTTAACTCCTATGCCACCAGGGAGGCCCAGCTTTAGCTTCTTTTTATGGCTGCTGCATAGACCTATTATTTCATCAAGGGTGGAGAAATGGTGATTTTTCTAACATTCTGTCTGCCATGATGGATTATGATTTTCTTTTTTTTAATAAAGAGGAACTTCCCTTTGCAACCATTTGGTTCCCCTGAAACTCAACTCTTCCCTTCTCTTCCCTTCTCTTCTCTTCTCCCTAGATTTATTTATTTATGCACGCAAGAGCTGGGGTACAGGCCAGAGACAAGGGGTGGGGGTGAGAGGATTCACCAGAGACAGAGTGGGGAGCAAAACAGGCAGACTGACTGAAATACACCGCTGAGGGGAGCAGCAGGAGAGGCAGGGGAGGTCTGCCTCACCATGTGAGCTGCTCCCTGGCCGGTCGGGGATCAAACTCGTGCTGCAGAGGCTTGGGATGGCTTCATACTGTGGGTGCTTAACCCCCTGCACCACCAGGGCGGCCCTGAAACACTTTTCATGCAGGGTAGGGAAGATAAGTAAGTACTCAATCCCCACCCCCACCTTATCGCAGGAATTACAGAACGACAAATAATGGCTGGCCCTAACAACCTCCAGGGGTGAACAATGGGATTTTCCCCTCTTTATGGGATGTGTTTTGATCCACTGTTATCACTTATGTTGAAAATGCCCTCGCTTTCTTCAGCGGAAGCCTTTTCAAGTTTCTCTTTTAGACAGGACTCTAGTTGTCTTTGACCGCTTCCTTCCTGGTAAGAAGGACAAGTTATCTCAGGCTCATTAATCATAGTATAACACCATCAGTAAAGGCTCCTAACTCATCTTAAAAAAAACAACCCTTACAGTGTAGACCCCAGATTATCCTGTTGTGAGTTACTTTGCGTGTCATGTTGATAATGAGATCCTTCCAATTTTCTCCTACCCAAATGACCACAAATTACTCTTCCCCATGCCATCATTTATCTTACCAACACAAACAAGCTTGTTAATCCTTCCCTTTCTCCACTTGAGCAAGTCTCCACCTTTACCACAGCCCAGGTCCAAAACAGTGATATCGCGTTTTTTCTTCTGTCGCACCTTTTCTAAAAATTCCCCTGAAAAAGAGAAATCAGTCCTGGTAAACGATCGCTTTACTGTTATTTGCTAAAGCATAAACTGCAACCCTGGTGACCTGTGACTAACTTCTGCCTGACATGTGATAAAAAGAAAATAAACTATTAACACATTCAGTGATGTAATTAATCATGACTTTTGCTAAACATTTCAAAATATGACTAAGAGATAAATTATCTGATCCTGCAGCAGGAAAGATGAAAGAATATGTCTCTGGAATTTGAAACGGTTGACATGGGTTTCCAAATTTGATTCAACGTGAACTGGCACACACCTTAAATTCTAATACCTTTATAAGAAGACTCAACACTTGTCCATAGGAGAAAAGTTAACTGTTCATAATTTTCAGTACCTTTCACATTCCAACGCTGAGCGTCTAGCTCATTGTACACCTACGTAAATCAAAATGGACACGGGACCATCCGAGTACCTGATTTTCATAAAAGACGCCAAGCGTACCACCAAAAGAAATAAGAGCACGAGTCAAAAAAACCGTGCAAACCTCTTATTTTTACTCTCAGAACACCGAACACTCTGAAGTGAAAATGGAATCTTCACCCCAATCTACCAGACCACGATTATTATATACACGATTACTTATATATACAATTTAAATATTATATACACACAGTTATTTACATATATAATATAAATATCACATATCAGGAGTCAAATGGTTCAAGTTGCGGTTGGAAGCACAGTCATATTCTTCGATAGCTGAGGTACTCAGCCATTCAAAAACCGGAGGCCATACTCACTTCCAGAGCGCCTCTCCCTCCCTATCTATCACTCTGAGATTAATACTTTCCATTTGACTGCTGAAACAATCTCCATCAATACTTCTGCTTTTCATCGCCTCTAACATCTTTTTTTTCCTTTTTTAAAGATTTATTTATTTTTATACAAGAGCCGGGGTACAGGCCAGAGAGGCGGGAGGGTGAGAGGATTCACCAGAGACAGGACGGGAGCAGAACAGGCAGACGGACCAAAATACACTGCTGACGGGAGCAGCGGGTGAGACAGGAGAGGTCTGCCGCGCCATGTGGGCATCTCCCTGGACGGCCGGGAATCGAACCCGCGCTGCAGAGGCTGCGGACAGCTTCACAGCACTGCGCTCCACCCGCTCTGCCACCGGGGAGGCCCGCCTCTAACATCTTAAAGTAACTTCAACAGGAGCACGAGTGATCCATGTTCAACTTTCACAATGACCCTGAAGAACATAAATATCAGACTGAAAGAGTGGAAAACAACAATAATTACAAATCTTTGTTTCCGCACGGTAAGAGAGGAGAAATCCTCATGAAACACCATTCAGAGACATCTTCATCCAATCAAGGCGAACGCTCAGTCATTCACTAAAGTATAAGCACCAACCGGAAAGAGAACATGACAGAGAACGAGTATTGAGAAGACAACGGAAAAGCCAGAGAGCGAGCCTGGCACAGACCACACTGACTGTACCACGACAGAAAGACTGGTGTGGAGTACAACGACCCCAAAGACAGACCCCAGACAGTGCGACCACCCCACTGGGACAGCTGAAGCAGAAGGGAACACTGTGAAGATGCCGAGAGATTACTTTATGCTAAGCCTTAAGGTGTCCTTTCCAAAACTATCTGTCTTCCTAGTTATAAAAATAAACACACAATGTGGAGAATATGGCTGAACTTAAATACATTCACTCAACGCACAATGAAGAAATGACACTTCAGATAAAATACCCAAGGAAGGGTAAGTTACCTGCAGCATCACTGTGGACAGTGAGGAGAGGATGTGACAAGGTGGAAAGAAGTTAGGACGAGGTTCCCACGACTGCCTTTAAAGTATGGGCTAAAAGTGCCATAACATTAACCTAAAATAAGTAAGCTAGCAAGTAAACAAACAAACAAACAAACAGATAAATACATACAGAAGCTGACACTGATTACGGCCAGTCAAGTAAATGATATTTTTGTCGTGACATATGAGTAACAAAAACAAAGAGAGACAGAAAATATTAAAGTATGTTTGAAATAATGGGCCTAATTCCCATTCCTAATACTTTTTTTTTTTTTTTTTTAGTAGCAGCAGCAGAATTGACATTTGTATGCTTAATGTAGTTTATTTATACTCTTTATTTATTATTGTTTTTTCAGAATGGATAATTTTGCTTTCCAAAGAAGCAAACTATCATCCAGACTCGTAGAAAGTACCCACAATTATCACATTTATTTTTTTCTTTTGATGTAATCAAGAACGCAATCAAGAAAGCTTGCTCACTTTCCCTGAGGTGGGCTTAAACACAAGACGACCGAATAAAATCCTTACTGTGAATGACTTCAAAACACACTGGCTTTTAAAATTCTCCAAACTCGTGTAAGAGTCTGAGTACTAGCTGTACAAAACAACAACTGTTATATTCTGAGTCATGCTCTCTGCACTGACTTCCATTTAATTTCAGAGGCAAGTTTCCACAGATAAAGGGCTGCCTCCAAACAGTTGAACGTCTTCACCAACCCTCAAAGGAAACTTTATTTCTCCCCAGACACCATATAAGAAAAACAAGTTCATATGGCCAGTCAACCCACATGACCTTTATCAGGTCATGAAAGGCTTCAAGATAAAAAACATGGCATTGCTCACCTTCCTCACTTAAGGGAACCTGGACGCTGAATCCAACTACTGTTGGCTATGCCACTGCTTCAGAACTATTAGAATGAAATGAAATAATTATGCAGTACCACCTGGTACCTGAATTCTCAGTATAAAAATAAGCACACTGCCTTTTGAGCCTGATTAGCTCAACTTAGCCCAGCCTATGTTGTCCACCCAGAGCCAATCTGAACAGAATTGATCTCAAAGGCCCAGCTTTAGTCTTTAGCTCCAATCCTATTACGCCAATGAGGTTTGACAACAGAATAAATAGAAATTAAAGACCTAGCAGTTTGGTGTATGATTAACCACCAGGGCAAAAAATGTAAGCCGCCAGTTGAAATAAAAACTCACACCATAAAAACAAAAACCAGTCCTACCGATGAGGATACTTTTCATCCAATTATTGAAGTTTCTTAGGTAAAATATTCGACTTTGGCTACGCATCTGCAAACCAACTTCCTTAAGTTCATTATAGTGGGCAGCCACTGTGGAGCTGTGCCCCTCTTCCAAGTTCTGTAAAAAAAGAGGATGGAACGAGATTAGGCATCAGAACATGAGGAGAGTAAGCCGGAAATGGACCTGACCTACAGAAGGATACAATACAACGAAATCAAAAAGCCTCAGTATGCAATGCACTAGCCACGGAAGTCATTATGCAGAAGATCTGTTTTCCCTACTTATTTTAACGTCCCTCGGCTGTTTGGCG